GCTGGTGGATTTGAACTGCCGACCTTTTGGTTAGCAGCCGAGCTCTTAACCACTGCGCCACCAGGGTTTCCATTAGTGGTAGAGCAGGGCTAATTCCCACTACCCCATGCTTCTGGGATCATTTATTTAATGATCACCTACCCACTGGGCGCCTGCCTAGTGGGTGTCAGCCACTATGCCGGGTACTTATCATTGCGCTCTTCCAACAGTTATTCAAACCCCTCCATGTAATTAGCGATGTTTTTTAAGTGATGGAATGAACAAACTCCCACTGGACTCGTGGCAGTACAGTGGGCTAGCTGACGGCTGCGTTCTAGAGCCAAGCTGTCTGGTCTTGAATGCCAGCCCTGCCACCCACTAACTATATAAACTCTGTTTCCTTGTCTATAAGGTGGGGATAATAATTGTGTTCATGCCATAGGGCTGTTGTGAGGGCTGACCTAGTACAGGAGAAGCACTTACAACAGAGCCTAACGCACAATAAAAAAACAAAAAAACCCAAACCCGTTGCCATTGAGTCCACTCTGACTCATAGCAACCCTATAAGACGAAGCAGAACTGCCCCACAGGATTTCCAAACAGTGGCTGGTGGATTTGAACTGCTAACCTCTGGTTAGCAGCCGAGCTCTTAACCACGTGCCACCAGGGCTCCAATGCACAATAAAACTAAAAAAACCCAAATCCATTGCTGTCAAGTCAAGTCTGACTCATAGCGACCCTATAGGACAGAGTACAACTGCCCCATAGGGTTTCCAAGGAGCGGCTGGTGGATTCCAACTGCCAACATTGTGGTCAGCAGCCACAGTGCACTGTCGCTCTTAACCACTGCGCCACCTGGGCTCCAATGCACAGTAACAGTCCAATAAATATTAACTTACTATCCGGATGTCCTTTGGGATTGTCTTGAAAAGGCAACAAAGGGAGGTTAAAAAAAAAAAAAAAAAAGACCTCTTTAACCTGTATGTTTCTTAGTGTTCCAAAGCTTTTGTTTAATTTTAAAGGTCTGGCCCAGAAAAGGGAGCCCTCTTTAGTCAGGCAGAGGTTGAAAACCCTTGCTGAGCCTGCAAAGCGTCCCCACTCTCACCTCCACCGTCCTGACCCCACCTCCTTAGGAAGGGACCTTGCGAACAGCCTCCGGGCCTCTGCTCTCTCCTCCCGCAATGTCATTGTCTTTTTTTCAAGTTAATTTCCCTAAGACACTCACCAAGCGTTCTTACTGAGCGCCAGTTATGTGCCAGGCACCATAGCGGACACTCTGATGAGCTGCCTAGACCCTCTTTCAGGAATGAAGGACTTGTTGCCCTAGCTGCTGAGAGTCACACGTCCTTCCAGGGGCAGCCTGAAGCCAGAGATTGATCAGCTCGGCAGTATGGAGGCCTGGCCCCTTGCCCCAACTCAGGACAACACAGCAGGGCTGGCCCAGCTCGAGCTGCCTGTAGGGGGACTGAGGCTCTCAGCAGCCTGCTTTGCTGCTCGGCCTCTCCCTCTGCTCCACCCTGCTTCCTGCCCTTCAGGAGCTCCCCTTAGTAAATGTCCTGCCTCAGAGCTGCTTCCAGGGAACCCAAGCTGTGACAGTCACAGAAGATGCAAAGGTAAGTATGCCACGGTCTGGCCTGCAAGGATGTGAAGACAGAGTGGGGATCACAAGCTTCCTGTTCTGTGCAGTGTCTACGTTCTGATGGGGTGCGCGCAATGCACAATGGAAGCCCAGCTGAGTGGCGGGAGGGGACCGCTACAGGCCCATCAGCCAGGTCGTGAAAGCCCTCCACAGCCTGGACCCCCCCCTCCGCCGCCTGCCTGCCCACTGGGATTGCCCACAGGCTGTACTCAGTGTGGCATGCTCAGCTGATGCAGAGCCCAGTGCTGATAACAGCAGGGGTGTTGTTTAGTTTGCTTCAGTGGATGGACCAGACCCAGGCTTCATGGATCCCTGAAGAGTGGCTCTTAGCAGGATGTGTTATATTCCAAACTGCCAGGCCCAGTGAGGGTAAACGACACTCTTTCCTACTTCTCGCTAGAAGTTGCCTGGAAATCAGAGAACTTAGCACAACGTTGTCTACAGCCAACACATCTACCACAGTACTAATACCACAGTGGCATGAGAGTGCCTCTGAAGATGGGTGCTCAGAGACCCGTGACCCCTTCTGCACCCCTGCACTCTGCCTCCCCCGGGACCAGCCAGGCTGCCTGAGAAGGCGTCGGCGAGGGCAGTCAGGGCAGAAGCAGGGAGGCCGCATTTCCATGAAGACACAGCAGTTTAAAGGCCTGAAGTTGTCAGGCAGCTCCTGGGCCAGCAGCCTCCATGGCTGGTCAGGGCTAGCGACTCTCCACGCTGCGAAGCAGGTGGCTGCTGTCTTGGCAGTCTGGAGCCATCAAGGGTGGCTCCCCACCGATCCTTGTCAGCTCCCTCTCATCTCTGGGCCTTCTGGAATGCGGCTGGCTGCCATTACTCCCATGCGTCCATCCCCCAAGATGACCACCTCCTGCTGCCACCTCCCCTGTCAAGGCTCTTCCAGATGTTCCCCTCACACATCCACTGTAGTAGGGTCTTTCCCAGCTGCTGCAGCTCACCCATCCCGTCTTCCTAAAGCCCAAGGCCCCGTGCCGTAGGTTCCTGCCGTCAGGCTCTTCACACTTCATGGACTGTAAGTAAAATTGGAAGCCAACCTGGGAGCGACCTGGTGCTGCCTCCTACCCCAGAGAGATCTCTTCTCCAGAGCCCTGATGGGGCTGGACAGACTCAGTGACTGGAGGCTCGCTTCAGAAAGCAGTCTGAGCTGTTAGAAGTTTTTCCTTCCTGATAGCCAGTACAACTTGTCCAAGGCAAAGTCATGAAAGCTCCATAGACACATCTAAACTCCCTGAAGGACCGAATTAATGGGCTGAGGGCTGTGGGGACCATGGTCTTGGGGAACATCTAGTTCAATTGGCGTAACATAGCTTATAAAGAAAATGTTCTACATTCTACTTTGGTGAGTAGCGTCTGGGGTCTTAAAAGCTTGTAAGCAGCCATCTAAGATACTCTACTGGTCTTACCCCGTCTGGAGCAAGGAGGAATGAAGAAAACCAAAGATACAAGGGAAAGATTAGTCCAAAGGACTAATGGACCACAAGTACTACAACCTCCACAAGACTGAGTCCAGCACAACTAGATGGTGCCTGGCTACCACCACCGACTGCTCTGACAGGGATCACCATAGAGGGTCCTGGACAGAGCTGGAGAAAAATGTTGCACAAAATTCTAACAACAATGATAAAAGACCAGATGTACTGGTCTGAGACTGGAGAAACCCCGAGAGTATGGCCCCAGGACACCCTTATAGCTCAGTAACGAAGTTACTCCTGAGGTTCACCCCTCAGCCAAAGATTAGACAGGCCCTTAAAACAGAACGAGACTAAAGGGGCACACCAGCCCAGGGACAAGGATAAGAGGGCAGGAGGGGACAGGAAAGCTGGTAACAGGGAAACCAAGGTCAAGAAGGGGAGACTGTTGACATGTCATGGGGTTGGCAACCAATGTCATAAAAATATGTGTATTGTTTAATGAGAAGTTAGTTTGCTCTGTAAATCTTCATCTAAAGTACAATTAAAAAAAAAAAAAAAAAAAGTTTTTCCTTCTTGAGCCCAAACTGGTCTACCCTCTGGAAACACTTGGAGAAAATCTCCTTCCTTCCTCTCTGATGGTCTTCCCAGTCATGGACTGGCCACACGGGGATCATGTTTGTGTGCTTATGTGTTATGAGCTAGTTAGCGAATCCTCACAGAAATCCTTTAAGGACCCCGGCTCGGAGGTGTTCGGAGAGCTGAAGTGATTATTGTGGGCACCCAGCTAATACTCGCTAGCTACTGAACCGGGATTTGACCTCAGACCCTGCTCCAGTGCTGGCTGCACACAGCGCCCCCTCCCAAGGAGCAGAGGCCGTGTCATGGAGCCTCCAAGGAGTTGGAGAACTCCCACAGAGGCTCATGAGCCGGTGAGGGGCGAAGGGGCTGAAAGCCTGCCAACAGGCCCAGATCCCACGACAGATGGCTCCCCGCTGGCCCATCTGCAGGCCCGAGGTCGGAGGGACGGAGGCTGAGAGCTGTCAGGAGCACCGAGATGCACATGGCCACAGACGGGCTGGAGGAAGAGCTGCTCCGGATTTCTGAGGGAAGGAGACTGAGGGCAGGCAGGTCCACGGCCCTTCTGCCAGCCTCCTCAGTCCATCAAGGCTGCTCTGCAGTAAATCCAGAGCCTTCCCGTCACTGTTCTCCTTCACCCCAAACAGCTATCTACGCCTCGACACCCTCAGCAACTCAGGGTGAAGACGCCTGGATGAGCTGCACGACTACAGTCCCCGCGAAGCCAGCAAGCGCCTTCAGAAGAATCTGGTTTCTGCTGTACTGAGGCAAAGTAGTCTCTTTTTTGTGTCTTCTGTGTAATTACATACAGCAGTGAGTCCTCGAGAAATGACGTTTATCAACCTTACCTCCATCAAACATCTCCCCTTCCTCTGAAAGAATGCTTAATTTGAAAACAAAAGTGTTCAGTTTCTTCTCATTAGACCTTTCCCCACACCCCAGGCCCCACCCATGGACCAGAGGGAAAATAAAAGGCAGGAAACCAACCCAGCAAAAGGAGGGCCAAGACCGTCTCTCTGTGGCCTGAGGATTCAGTCTAGAGGTGAGGCGAGCCTGGCTCAGAGACCGCCGGACAGAACAGCCGGCCACCAGGAGGCCAGGCGGCAGACCAGTCCCGCCTTCCGGGCAGCAGGGCTGAGACCCCTCAATGAGGCTGAGCCCAGGACACGGGAAGCGGCACCACAGTGATGCTGGCACGCCGTCCCCTCATCCCACCAGCTCAGCCACCCCAGAGGCAGCCCTGAGGAGGCCCCCTCCCAAGGGCCAGGCTGCCACCTCCCTCTTGGGAGAAAGGTGGGAAGGCTGAGTCCGAGGGCCCACCCCCCTCACCAGCGGGCCGCCACAGCAGCCCTGCCCAGGGGAGCAGGGATGAGGCCAGGGAGACGCATGGTGGGATTTAATTTACACAGCAGCCACTCAGGGCCCAGTCAGAGCTGGGGCAGGTGGGGCAATCTACAACCCCAGGGGGCACCCCCTGTCCCCCACCCCTGGGAGACCAGTCCCCACAGGCCCGTGGACGGGGCTCCCTGGGTTGTGCAGAGGATACTCCCATCAAAAGGAGGGTTGGGAGTAAGGCTGTCCCCAAGTAGGCGGAAGTCCGCGGCCTGGAGCTGGTTGCCTACGTGGGGGCCCAGGGGTCTGAGAGACCAGTCCACATCCTAGGCGCAGCTGTCAGCCTGGTGGCCCTAGAGAAAGCCCTCCTGGCGGAACTGTTCCTGGAGGCGGGCGCGGTACTGGTCAAAGCCCCCCTCAACGCGGGTGACGCCTCTTCCTTCACACACCCACAGCTCTTGGCACACCAGCCGGATGAAGCGCTCGTCGTGGGAGACCAGGATCACGCCTCCCTGAAAGAGAGGAGAGCGGGGAGGTGCTCGGGCCCGCAGGGGACGCTGAACCGGGGTGGGGCGGCCAGCACGAAGGCGTGCTCACCCTGAAGGTGCTGAGGGCGCGGCCCAGCGCCTCGATTGTCTCCATGTCCAGGTGGTTTGTGGGCTCATCCAGAATATAGAAGTTGGGGCTGCAGGGAAGAACCCAGGGCATTACGGGGGTGCTGGCAGAAAACGAGCCTCTCTGACTCGGAGGTGGGGGTCAGCTTCTGTTGGGAGGGCAAGAGCTCCAGAAAGTGAGGTCTCACCAGGGCATGGTCATCTGAGCAAAGGCCACCCGGCTCTTCTGGCCCCCAGACAAGCTGGCAACGGGGCGCACGGCTAGTTCTCCAGAGATGCCGTAGCGGCCCAGCTGGTGACGATACTCCTCTTCTGGCCGCCCTGGAAGAGGCAGAGGCCCCACCCCATCACATGGGTTCCTGGCCCAGCTCCCTCCACCCTCCTGCCCCACCTGCAAATGGCCATGTCCTTCACCTAGACGCGGGGTGGCTACCCAGCACCCACCCCCAGGCGGGCCTGGCTGTAGGCGCGGCCCCGGCCGCCTTCCCCCAACTTCGATCCCTAACATACCGGGAAACTTCCGTGCCAGCAGCTCCACGGCGCTGACGTTCAGGTCCAGCTGTTCCACGTGGTGCTGGCTGAAATAGCCGATCTTCAGGTTCCTGCAGGCAGAAATAAGGGGGAGGAGAAGGGATAGGGGCTGCGGGCCACAAAGGAACAGAGCCACAGAGACTGGGTACAAGTGTGTGCACCCGGGGTGTGGGGAGGTGGGCCTTACCTGTGAGCATGTCTGATTCCCCGAACAGGTGCCAGGTCCCCCAGAAGCAGCTTCAGCATGGTGGACTTCCCAGTCCCATTCTCCCCGACCTATAAGAAGGAATGAGAGAACCTTAAGGGGCACATGGGACACAGAGGGGACAATGAGGGTGGGCCCCAGGTAGTCACCATGAGTCTTCAATAGCCAGAAAAGTATCTTAAATGAACTACAGAGGAAAAGGAGCCCTGGCGGCACAGTGGTTAAGAGCTCAGCTGCTAACCAAAAGGTCAGCAGTTTGAATCCACCAGCTGCTCCTTGGAAACCCTATGGGACAGTTCTATTCTGTCCTATAGAGTCACTATGAGTCGGAATCGACTTGATGGCAATGGGTTTGGTTTTTGGTTTTGTAGAGGAAAGTGAAGAAGGAAGTAAAGATATAAGCGGAACCAACAGCTGAGTGCCTACTAAGTGCTGGGGATTTAACACTGTATAACTGTAGATGCTTTCTCCACTTTAAGGATGAAGAAACTGCTTAGTAAGTGTTCCAGATTAACTGTGTCCCCTAAAAACGTGTGTTGTAAACTCTAACCCCTATACCTGTGGAAACGGATTTTTCTCAGTTATGTTACTGAGACAGTATTAGTGCAGGGTGCGTCTTACGTCAATCTCTTTTGAGATATACAAGACATTAAACGAGCAAGCGAAAAGCAGAGGTACAGAAAGACACACGCCAGCCACCGAAAGATCACCCAGGAGCTGAAGCTCAGAAGAGGCAAGGACCTTCCCCCAGAGCCAACAGACAAAGCCTTCTCCTAGAGCCAGCACCCTGGATGTGGACTTCTAGCCTCCTAAAATGTGAGAAAACAAGCTTCTATTTGTTGAAACCAGCGACTCGTGGTATTTGTTACAGCAGCACTAGATGACTAAGACAGTGGGCAAGGTGGGAATGGCAGAGCCAGGATCTGAAGTCCACCCTGGAGCCCATGCTCGCTCCTCTGTGTCACGTGGTTTGAAACCACTCAAGAGCTGAGGCCAGTGACAGGAAGTCCTGCTACTAAGTATTAACAAAGCACCCCATGTCAGCTTTCCTCTCTGCAGGAGCGTCCCCGTGGGGTTAGTGGACAGGGCAGGACAACTCTGGCAGTCTCTGGCCAGGCCTCCGGCTCCCATGGACCTCTTATCTTAGCAGCCCAAGAGCCGGGGCCAAGCCACACCGTCTGCTGTGGTCGGAGAGTCCCACCACACAGAAGGGAGAAAGGTAAACGGCAACCCTACCACACAGATGCGGGACTCGAGATCAGCAGAGATGGAGAGATGACTGAAGATGAGGTGCGCAGGATCATAGTAGAAATCCACTTCATCCAGCTGCAGGATTGGTGGTGAGAACTTCTCAAACCCATCAGGGAACCTGCAGGAGGCGGGGATGAGGGACCTGGGGAGGGCCAGAGAGGAGCCCCCACAGCCAGCCCCTTGGCCCAGCACTCACTTCATTACCACCTCCGACTCCTTGTCCACCGGCTTCAGCTCTGGCCTGAGGGGGAGAAGGGAGGCTGGATGGAAGACTTTAAAGATAACTTCATTTGTTCTTATTGCACAACGAAAAAACTTGCAATCCTATTGCCAGATGACATTCTTACTTTAGAGTACATTTTTCTAGCTGGTTATATGCTGAGACAAGATCGTCCCTTTCATAGCCTCCCCTCCCAATTAACACATTGTGAGCATGTTTCCACGTCACAGTTCTACGCTTTATAATTTTCAAACTCTCCCATCAGCACCTCTAGGAAGACTGCTTCAAGATTAAACCCCCAAGGCGCAACAGCATTAGTGAAATACAAATCAAAATCACAACGAGATACCACTTCACTCTCCAGAATGGCTAAGAAGACAGACAGTAAGTGTTGGTGAGGACAAAGAGAAACTGGAACCTTCACACACTGCTGGTGGGAATGGAAGATGCTGCCGCCACTCTGGAAAACAGCCTGGCAGTTCCTCAAAAACTTCACACAAGGTTACCACGTGACCCAGCAATTCCGCTCCTGGCTATATACCCCAAAGAAGTGAAAAATACACGTCCGTGCAAAAACCTGTACGAGAGTGTTCGCAGCAGCACTATTCACAAAAGCCACAGAGAGGAAACACCCAAAAGTCCATCAACTGATGAATGGATACGCAAAATGGGGTAGATCCATACAACGGGGCCTCATTCGTTTGTAAAAAGGAGTGAACTACTGACACATACTACACCACGGATGAACCCTGGAAACACTACACTAAGCGAAAGACACCAGACGCACAAGGCCACAGACTATAGGACCCCATTTACAGAAAATGTCCGCAATGAGCAAACCCACAGAGACGACTTATTAGATCCGTGGCTGCCTAGGGTGGGGTAAGGGTTACCCCCAAGAGCAGCAGAATACTCTGCTTTGCTGCAGGAAAGGAAGTTCCAGTTGGCTTCTAGCAAAGGAGACCTAGAATAGGAAGACAAGGGGTAGCCTGCAAAACTAGGCCAGAAGTGAAGAGGTACAGGAGTCACGGACTGGCCGAGGACACGGTACTCACAGCTTCTCCAACATCTTGAGTTTACTCTGCACTTGGGAGGCCCTGTTAGCATTGTAGCGAAACCGGTCAATGAAAACCTGCAATGGGGGAATACAGGGGCTGGTCAGGCACCACACCCCTGCCTCTGGCACCCACAGGACTCTGCCACCCTCGCCTCTGCCACCCGCGGGACTCTGGCACCCACAGGACTCTGCCTCCCCCCACCCCCCACGGGACTCTGCCCCCTGCGAGAGAGAGTCCAGGCTGCCAGCCTCACACCTGAATGTGCTGGCGGTACTGCTGCTGTGCCTCGTATTCACGCTGCTGGTTGAGCAGCCGCTCCTGCTTGCTCCTGATGAAGGTCTCAAAGTCTCCCCGGTAGCCATCCAGCCGCTGGCTGTGCAGGTGGATGATGTCGGTGGCGACGGCGTTCAGGAAGTTGCGGTCGTGGGACACGACCAGGATGGTGGAGGGCCAAGTCTGAGGGGTCACAGGACGCGGGCCCAGTCGGGCAGGGCACTCAGCCCACAGCCCCACAGGTGTCCCGGAGGCAGACTTGCCCCAGGCCCCCTCACGCGCCCCGCGGGCACTCACCTGCAGGTAATTCTCCAGCCACAGGATGGCCCTAACATCCAGCATGTTTGTGGGTTCTGGAAAAGACATGCGCGAGCACATGTGTGGGACTGAAGAGCTGAAGAACCAGGAGCCTGGAGGCTACCGCTCCCTCATCCCACAGTCAGGGAGCCCACGTCAGACTCACCATCCAACAGCAGGAGATCTGGCCTGTGAGAAACAAGAACACAGGCGTGAGGCTTCAGGTCAGTGACTCACCACCGTCTCCCACCAGCCACAGCCTATCCTCCCCAGGGCTCCGGACACAGGACCAGGGACTCACCTAGCAAACAGGGCCCGGGCCAGGGCCAACCTCATCCTCCAGCCACCTGAGAACTCCCTAAAGAAAGACAGGCCTGCATCAGGGGTGGGGGCTTGCCAGGGTGGGCAGAGCCAACAGTGTTCAGAGCCAAGAACGGCAGAGGACCACTCACCGGGTGGGCTGCTGCTGCATTGCAGGGGTAAAGCCAAGCCCAGCAAGAATGACGGACGCCCTAGGAGTGAAAAAATGCAAGTCTGCAGTTGGAACAGGTGCCAGAAGGGAGAGGAAATCTGAAGGGTGGGGCGGGGGGACAGGAGGCCAATACCTGGCAGGTGCCTTGTCAGCCTCAATCTCCTCCAATCTGGCATAGATTTCCACCAGCTGCGCAGCTTCTGAGCTTTCCGCCCTGGGGATGGGGGCCGGGAGAAGAGAAGAGCAATCAGCCGGAGGGGGTGCTCTAGGAAGATGTCAAGGACCCTAGACAATCGGGATGCAGGCCGCTGGCCGGCTTGTTGCTGGGACAGGAAGAGAGTACGGGAGGACGTGCCCCGGGTAGCGAGGGCCGTGGGCACTGTGGAGAGGACGGGGCTTTAGAATCCCACAGTGCCACGTTCCAGCTGTGCCGCTTACTAGAGCTGCCATGAGAATTATGGGCTGTGACACTTGATGATGGACGGCTACAGCCTGGAGTCCTCACCTGCCAGAGGCAATCTGGGCATTCAGCTCCCGTTCCTGACGGAGGAGGTCCTCTCGCATGGTGTCACTCTCCAGCACACTCTGCAGGGCCGGGGTGTCATCGCCAGCAACCTCCTGCTCTACGTGCAGCAGGGAAATGTGGGCTGGAACCCGCAGGCTACGGGTGGCCAGCATCTTCAGCAGCGTTGTCTTCCCTAGACCGTTCCGCCCCACCAGCCCATAGCGGCGGCCCCAGGCCAGATTCACATCTGCGCCGGTCAGCAGTACTCTGGGGAGAGGTAGGAAGAAGACGCGGGGTGTCTAGATGCAGGTGCACAGCAAGCTCAACAACAGAGAACTGACACTGTGTTAGCTCCACATCGTCCCTCCAAGTTCTCCTTTAATCGGAAAAACAATGCCACCCCCACTGTCACGCCCTCACCTATCTCCAAAAGACACATCAAAGTTCTCAATTCGCACATCGTAGGATTTATTCTTGCCAGATGATTCCAACCGACTCTCTTTTCTGCTGCCTGCCTGGCTGGCCGAAGCCTCTTCCAAGACTCTTTGAAAGAGAGAAACAGATGACTTTTAGCAACTCCCAACCACCCCGCGGAGACTGCTCTGCTCGCTTCTGCTCCGAGCCCACTCTTCCGAGACTCACGGAGGGCTGCTGGTCTTGAGCGTGTCCTTCTCTGAGCGCTTCTCCTGCTTTGCCTTCAGTCGAGCCTCGGCCTTCTCTAGTTTCTTTGCGTTCACTGTCTAAGGGTCCAAACACAATCATGTCACCCCAGGGTTTAGGGTCAGAAAGGATCACCCAGAGAAAACAAGTCAGGTCAACCCCTCTCAACCTATCCATGATGAACAGACTCAGAGAAAGACATAATTAGAAACCCCCCAGAAAGACGTTCCAGCATTCAGAGACAGCCACCCCCCGCCCGCTCAGCCCCCTCCTTTTCCTCCTCCTCACCGAGGACTGTTCCCTCTTAAGCAGTCCTGGAAGTTTGGTGTCACAGTCTGTAAGCAATAAGAAAAGCAGTCACCTTCTTCCTGAGAGAAGGGAAACTAACAATTTGAGTGACTAATATGAACCAGGCACAATCACAGGTGTTTTCAGGGAAGCTTTACAAACCTGGGGATAGACAGCTATCATTGTCTCCTCACTTCAAAAGACCCACACAGATAAGATACAGAGGCTAAAGCTGGTAAGTAACTCTTATAAGATCACGCAATTGGTAGGTAAGTTGCAAGACTGGGCGGTGAACCCAAAATCTGTCCAGCTCCAAGGTCCGTATGCTTCCTGCCACACCTATGAGCTGAGAAAACTCTCCAACTCTCCTCCCTCCATCTTGGGCTTTTTTGCCTTCAGTAAAGACATCAAATAGCGTCTACAACCTTGTCCTGTGGAAAAGGCTGGGGTGCTGAGTTCCAGGGGGCAGGAGACTGGCAGGGACAGGGTGGAGGCTGAGAACAGGATAGAGAGAGCACCTAAATCAATCTTCCCTCACGCTCACCGTAGTTCCCCGTTATCTTTGACAACTGGATGGGGGCGTCCAGCAACATCTGGCTGTTTCCCTGGCTCCGTGGCTCAGTGCTTGAGGGCACGGACAGAGGCCTCAGTTAGGAGTTGAGAAAACGCCCATGGCCGTCAGACCCTCTCTCCCCACCGCTCGTCTCCGGCCCGGCCGCCCTCTCCCATCGCCACCGGCAGCCCCAGACCAGGGCACATACAGGCGCAGAGTGTTGTACATGCGCTGGCACACGGCCCTGATGCCCGCGTCATCCTTGCTGTCCCCAGACACCTCCTGCAACAGTTCCCCCACTGCTTCCACCAGGTCATCCACAGACTCGAAGTCGGCGCTGCCGCTGTGCAGAACGCCTGGGCCGGGCGAGGCAGGACGAAGAAGAGAATGGGTGGGGGGCGTACAGACGGCTTCAGTCCCCGAACCGCGGCTCCCGACCCAACCGGCCTCTGGACAACAGGTCACGCAGAAGAGAGACCTGGCGGCGATCCCGGCAACGCCCTCCCTCAGCCTCCCCCCCGGACCTCCACTTCTGCCTGGGTCCCAGCCTGCTGACCCGGTTCGGCTCACCGGTCACGTAATCAAAGACCTGTCTGTCAATTTCGGGGAACTCGCTCCGCAGGATTTCAGCGCAAGTCGCCATGTTCCTGGGAGACTCCGGTCCGCGCAGTCTCGGTGAGACCTTGGCCACGGCCCGCCCCCTGCCCTGCCCCCGAAAGCGCGGCCCTCCTTCGAGAGCGCATGCGCCTCGGTGACATAAGAAAGGAGCATCGAGCGCGTAGCCCAGTGGGCGGGGCGAACGGGGCTGGCGGAACGGTGCGCAAGCGCCGCTCGGCGTCTTCGCCGGGGACGCTCGCTGTGCGCTTGCGCGACCGCCTTTCGGCTGAAAAACCGGCCACATGTGCGGTTCTCGCTGCCTTCTGGGAGGCGGCGCTTGGGGCGCGGGGTGGGGCATGGGAACTCGGGCTTTATCAGGGCGCGAGGCGCGGGTGGTCCGCGGGTGGGAGCCTGCCGGCCTCGAGACCGGCGGTTGCCGATCACATTGGCCGCGCTCGGTTTTATGCGCTCACTGTGGCGCGTCTGCCGCTACGCGACCGGCGGGTCCATTTTGGAGACGCCGAAAGCTTCGCTGACTCACGCCCGTCCCCGCGCCCTCGGAGGCGGCCCCCTGCGTGGTTCCGTGCACCGCCGGTCTCGTTGGGGCCCCCGGGCCTTGCGCTCAGCCCTCTCACAGCCGGCCCGGCTCTGGCAGCCACTGCCAATAAGCCCTGCCGCTTCTTCACCCCCCCGGGCACAACCCCGCTCCCCGCCGAAGGGCGAGAAAACCAGACTGACAGTCCGGTCTCCCAGCGAGGCTTTTGGATTGAGCACTCCCCGATTTTAAATGAAGAAAGCTACCGAGCCTCTGGGTCTAATAACCTTTTACAGGAAATACAAGGAAAGGGGAACATGTTAAATGACATCACAGGGATCAACGGGCAAAATTATTCTGACAAACTATCCGATTCCTTCAACAAAATTAAAAAAAAAAAAAAAGAAAGGCTGAGGGAAACCTATTCATTATAAGAAGAATTAACCAACCACAATGAATGACCCTTGTTTGGATCCAGATTGTAAAAAAAGTTGTAAAAATTATAGTGCGATTGGATTTAAGTGTGAACACAGATTGGCTGTGGTATTAAGGAACTGGCCTCGAGTTGATATTGTTGAAGTTGGGTGATGGGGCATGGGAGCGCATTATACTCTACTTCTGTTTATGTTTGAAATTTTCTATGGTAGATTTTTTAAGTTTAAAAAGGTTGAAACCAAGCATGGGAAAGCTGACTAGGGCAAATCTGTCCTCTTGTCTGCCTCAGCACACCAGCAGGATGTGGAGCTGTTCCCTTCAGGGACGAGCTCACCACACGGTTCTTGGGCAGGAGGGAGGAAGTCAGCTAGGGGACAGTCTAATCTTTCTCTTTACTACCCGCCCACCGGGGTTTGGGAAGCCAAGCTGAATGAAAAGGGTGAAGCTAAGAGGTCAGTTTTTCAGATGGCTGGAAATACCAAATGTAAACCTTGCTTATCTCCCTAATTAGAGACTACCTGCCTAAGGTTGGAAACCCTGGTGGCATAGTGGTTAAGAGTTACGGCTGCTAACCAAAAAATGGTTGGCAGTTCAAATCCACCAGGTGCTCCTTGGAAACCCTATGGGGCAGAACTACCCTGTCCTGAGTCGGAATCGACTTCGGGGCAGCGGGTTTGGTTTTGCCTAAAGCTGGGTGAATCCCTGAAAGAATCTCTAACCTCAGGGAACTAGGGCCAGATGGGCTGCTTGCCCGTGAGGCTGTTTTCTTCTTACAGGAACCAAGAGATGTAGGGCCAACACTGGGGAGGATCAGGGCTTGGATGGCCCACAAGGAGCCTAGCAATTGAGACAAGGAAAAAGCCTTGAGAAGCCAGAATAGAAAACTCTCCCCAAAGCAGACAGTGTAAGAAAACGGAGGAGCAGCCCCGCCAGCCCCCCTCCTCGTGGAGCTACCGCATCGTTTAGCCAACAATTCCACTCTACAGAGTTTATTGGGTTTATAACTGGACAAAGTCACATGTGTACAAAATGAAGCTCAAACTATCCCAGAGCAGAGGAGGGACTGAGGGCTGGGGATCCGTTACTGGCCTTTAGGGGAGCTCCAAGGTGAGGGGCGGCCAACCCTCCCACTCCAGAGAGCTGTGGCCACAAGGGACAGGAGGAGAGGGGGCCCACCTGGCTTTGGTCACAGAACTCGCAAGAGAGGTTGGCACTGGGCCAGGACAGACAGATGAATGGAGCAGGCACCCCGGAACCCCCTGCCCAGGGAGCCCACAGACCGCTCTGCCACTGCCACTCGCGATGGGGTTGGTCCAGACCTAGACTTGGGGGCTGTGCACAGGGAAGGCAGCAAAGCAGAAGAGGGGAAGACACTGATGCATGGTTGCCGGGGGCTCCCGGGCCTGTGGAAGAGGGTGGGCGGGGAGGCGGGCTCGCTGCCACTGGGCAGCTAGCAGCGGGTCTCATAAATGCCGCTGCGGCCGATGTAGCGCACCCATTTGATGACATCGTGGTCACTGTAGTTCAGCTTCGGCTCAAACACCTTCAAGTAGCGCACCTTGAGGCCAGATGGTGCAAATGGCACCTGGGCAAGGGACAGCTCTCATTAGGAATGTGGCCTTCCTCTCACAGCCCTGCCCTACCTCATCTCCACCATCAGTGCTCAAATGGTTGGGGTCCTCAAAGAAGCTGGGGTAGTGAGGGGCCTCTAAGTGGTCATTAAAGAAACAAGCAGATACAAGAGTAGCCGCCGATCATCCTGGGTTTGCAGTCAGGCCTGCCTGTGATAACATGAATCAATTCCTCTTATCAGCAGGAGGCAGCAGCTAAAGAACCGCTTTAGAGCACGTATCCTGTTCCATAGGACGGACTTCAAAAAGAGGTAGAGAAAAGTGTATGTCTAGCACGCACAAGGCAAAGGCAGCCCATTTTCCTGTCTGTGATAAACCTGTAAGTCTTACCTGGCATTCAAATAATCTAAATTTTTCCGAAGACCTGCTTTATGACGAGTCAAGACTAGTCAGATTTTTGTCAGTGTGAACACCAGTCTCTACTAAGAGGCTTGAAGGGGCAAAAAGTGGGTCTGTGAATGACACAGCCGCCAATGCTCTCTCGTTTTCCCTTCCCTCATCTGTAAGGTACAGAGGTGGCTCTGAAGGACCTCTCACATCTCTCCTAGCCCTCCCTGCCGTGGCTCCCCAGGCCTCTCCTCTGCCATACCTCAAAGTTCATGGAAATGGGGGGTCGAGCCCACTTCTTCTTGTCGTTGGTTGGCAGAAGCTCAATCTCAGCACTGATCTGCGATTCCTTCATGCCTGCCATGCGCTTGATCCTGGGAACACAGGGCAATGGGCAGCAAGTGCCCCTGACAGCCTCAAGGAGTCCCAGGGTGGGGGGGCGGGGCCTTGGTCCAGGGGAAGAGAGCCCAGGAGCTTGTGGGAGGTGGCAGGACGGGGAATGGTGGTCCAACCACTTGCTATGCAGCCTCGGGTCTGCCATTTGTCCAGCACTGTGGCCACGGCTCAGATACGTGTGCATGCTATCCTTGCTTTGTCTCTGTTCACAGAGATGTTACAAGAGCAAGTGGGGAAACACTAAAGCATCTTGAAAAAATGAGTGCACGCATGAACCCACGTGCAGGTGTGTACATCGTGCTCACACAAAGGTGTGAGCTCAGAGGAGAAGCCAGCATGAACACCAGCCCCTACACACACACACACACACACACACACTCTCACTCACTCACTCTCACTCACTCACTCACTCTCTCACTCTCACTCACTCTCACTCACTCACTCACTCTCACTCACTCACTCTCACTCACTCACTCTCACTCACTCACTCACTCACACTCACTCTCACTCACTCACTCTCTCACTCACTCACACTCACTCTCACTCACTCTCACTCACTCACTCACTCTCACTCACTCTCTCACTCACTCTCACTCACTCTCACTCACTCACACTCACTCACTCACTCACTCTCTCACTCACTCACTCTCTCACTCACTCACTCACTCTCACTCACTCACTCTCTCACTCACTCTCTCACTCTCACTCACTCACTCTCTCACTCACTCACTCACTCACTCACAGGAGGAGGAAAGATGGAACTTAACAGGAGGGTAACACTAAGACGCCCTGAGCCCTGCTGTGCCCTCATGAAGGAAAGACTCACTTCCACACGATGGCGTTCTCGCTGGCCTTGTACTTGGCCTTGCCCTTCATGCAGATCACCTGCACCCCGCTTGTGTTCAGTGGGGTTGGGATCCTCACCTAGAAGGGCACACCTGTCAGGGAGCTCCGTGAAGCCCCAGCATGAGCCGCCCTTACTCCCGCAGACAAGTTCTTCCTCCCCCACAAGCCCCTGTCCTCACCTCAATCTTTTGGGCCAGTAACGAGGGCTTGAAGTTGGACTTGATGACCACCTTGACCTCCAGCTTGGTGCGCCCCACTTCCCGCACTAGCGGGATCACCCGGAAAGGCAGGATGATGTCCTTGGTGGTGCGATACCTTTGGAGACAGGGGGCAAGGTTGGCACAGCATAGCCTGCCCCACGCCCTCTCCCCTTCTCTGCCGGCGGCACCCCCTTCCTTCCTCCCCACACCCCGAGGCACCTCATGAGCTCAAACTCTCCGTCAGGCGGGATGAAGCTGATGCTGCGTTCCGAGTCAAACTTGCTGAGTCGTACACACTGGTGGAAGGTGCAGTCGTCAATGGCAATCGATTGCTTCCCACTGCAGCAGGGACAGAAGAGGGCTCCTCATCGGTACAGGAGAGTGGCAAGCATCAGGTGGGAGACGGCCGCACCCCCAAAGGCTGCCGGAGCGCAGCCAGGTTTGTACCAGACTATGGAAAGCGCCCAGGAAGGCAACTGTCTGACCCAGGGGTCCCGCCTGAGTCAGGGATGAACGGACGCTGTGCCCGCCTGTCCTCTCCTGACAGCCCTGTTGCTTGGGACCTAGATGTTTCCGGTACCGCGGGCAGAGGCCGTCAGCAGGTAGGGAAGGGGCCTTGGTCCTAGGGACCAAATGGGCTTGCTCTCCTGGGGCAGTTATTGCAGATCTCAAGAGCAGCCAGCCAAGCGCTCCCCTGGGAAGAAAGAGTTGGCATTGCGGTAGAGATGAAAACCAGGAGAAAGCTGTGGTCCATCAGGCCCGACTCACCCTGAGGCTCACCCTCCCTGGCCAGCCCCACCCTCTCTACCAGCACCCTGCCTCGGGCACCTCTTGCTTGTTTCATCAGCCGTGCCCTTGCCCTGCTTCTCGATGACAATCTTGTCGTTCATCCCAAATTTGCACTCGGGCATGCCGCTCAGGTAGCTCTTCATCACCACCCGGCCTGACACGTGGGCGCTCAGCACCTGCCCTGGGGATGCACAGATACGGGAAGTTGTTGAGGCAGGCAGCGGGACCAGGGGCCTGCCCGGCCTCCCTCCGGCCTCGTCGGGAGGGCCCTCACCCTGCGGGGACATGAGCAGGTTCACACTCTCCAGCACATCCAGGAAGAGCTCGTTCCGGCGATACTTGATGCCCTCCCGCCGCCAGCCGATCTGCCCCGTCACCTGGCTGGTGATCTGGGACTGCTCTTCTTTTGTCTGCGTGGGGACAGAGACAAATCGCCATGGCTTCCCTCCCCTCCCGCCCCCTTCAGTCACCCAGCCTCAATCCCCACTCCACCCTCATCCTCCCTCCCTTCTCCTTCCCACCCTGTATGCCATCTTCCCTACAAGCCCCACAGGGCAGGGCCAGAAGGAACAGCAAAGCTGAAAGGACGGGAGCTGAGGGAGCAGCTTACCTGATGCTGGAGGCCACAGGGCCAGCAAGGCGGCCACAGGAAACAGCAAGGGAGCGCAGACGAGAAGAGGCAGCAGAAAAGAAGAGAGAGATCTGAGGCTCGGATCCTAGAGAAGGGCCCATGCTCTACTCCTGAGGAGCGCCGGAGCGCCAAGCCTCCAGAGCCCCACTCCCCACCCCCCCAGTGCAGAAGGAAACTGCTCAGTTCAATTCCCATCAAGAGATCCTGAGTTGGCTGCTCCTGGGGTAGAAGAGGGCCACACAAGCCTGCAGTCGTGGCAGGAGGCTCAGACCAGTGCTTCGTGTCAGGGATGGGCTCATGAGTCAGCCTGCACAGGGCTCGGCTCAGGAGCAGCTGGAGGTAGGGAGGCTGGGCTCTGCCCTGGCCAGGGCTCAGGAGCAGCTGGAGGCAGGGAGGCTGGGCTCTGCCCTGGTAAGGGCTTGGGAGCAGCTGGAGGCAAGGTGGCTGGGCTCTGCCCTGGCCAGGGCTTGGGAGCAACTGGAGGCAGGGAGGCTGGGCTCTGCCCAGGCCATGGGCACGCAGTGCACGTACCTGGCTCTTGATGCCCTGCTGAGTGATGAAGGTCTTCAGTGCCCCTGTCTCAGAGTTCTGTGGATAGCCAAAGTCCAGGATCTCTGCAAAAGGAGGGAGCCATCAGCCCCTGGGAAAAGCGGACGGCCCCTCACGCCAATCCCTCCGCTGGCCTGGGCAGATCCACCAGTATGGCTCCAGAGAACAGTGTGGGATCATCGGCAGGAAAGCCTCCCAGCTTTCCAGCGTTTTCTGGGATTTGTGCTCCATAAGAAAACAACTAAAATGTCATTATTTTTTCAGAGAGGGGAAACTGGCAGAAAAGCCACATGGCCAGGGGTGAGGGGTCAGGAGGCCCTGGGCCCCTAGGAAAGACAGCTGGCTGGGCAGGTGGAAGGACTCACACTTACGTTATACCCTACAGAAGATCAGACATAACAGTACACCCCAAGGGGCCTGTAATACCTCACCCTCCCCTGGGCTCTGAGGCAGCTGTTGAGATGGGAAGCTAAGAGGACAGTAAAGGCCCAAACCCCAGAAGTAAGAGGATGAAGTCTGCTGAACTGCAGAAGGCCTAGCCCCTTGAAAGACCAAAGCTTCCTCCCCCCATCCCTCTGGCCTGTATCTGTGTTCCACTTGAGAACAGCTTTTAGGTCTGGACTCGGACTGGCCTTCTGAGGGGCACAGAGGCCCTGGCCCAAGAGACCAGATACTCAGGAAAGAAGTTCAGAAGGCATCGGAGCCCCGGACCCGCTCCCACCTCCAGGCCGTGCCCGGTCAGGTCCACCCCCGCCCTCGGCCTGCCACCCTGCCAGCCTTACCATCCAGCAGCTCATAGATGAGCACAAAATTGTTCTTGATGTTCTCTTCACTGATCTTGCCAAAGTAGGCAGCCATTACGTCACACATCTTATAGAGGAATTCGAAGACCATGGCAGCATTGACATTCTGCTTGGTGACCGCCGCCAGCCAGATGTTGGACCGCTTAACATGGAAGAAGCTGGTCCGAGCAATGTTGGTGACGGGGCTGCGCACCTGCTGCCGGGCATGGATGACATTGACCCGAAAGGCGTCCACTGCGTTCCTCCTGAGGGAAAACGGTGCACAGGGGTGGCTCAGCACCTGGCTCACCTCACCCCATGGGGATCGACCACAGCTACGAAGAGCCCCACCCTCCTCAGTGCTGAAGTCTGCCACTCACGCTAAAGCCCAGGCCTAAACCACTGGGGTGGTTCCCATCTTCTGACTCCCAGTGCGGGCATGAGAGGAAGGCCACAGCTGGGCTGGTGGGTGGAGATCATGAGAAAAAGGGAAGTCGGGTGGTAATGACAGGCAGGCAGACAGAACCTCAAAGTGAGGTCCTCCGGATTTAGGGAGGTGTGTCCCTGACTCCCTGGCCTGGTCCCAATTTCCCTGCTCCACCTCAGCTGCCACCGCTCTAGTTTCCCAGGAAGCTCCAGGCCCAGAGGAGAAAGAGATCCTGCCACTTCTCCAATCCTCCCACTGGTGATCCTACCAGTGGGGAAGGCCAGCTCCTCCTGAGTTAGACAGTCAGCCTGACTTCAGAGCAGACTCTGGGGGGAGAAGTACTAAGGAGTTCTGGAGCTGCGCCACACATTCCTGTCCGGGATCCAATACCAGGGCAAGAAAACAGATGAGGGAGAAGAACGATGGGGGGGCCGGGCCCTCCACCCACCTGTGCCTGGGCGGCAGCCTCACAAGCCGCTTACCTATTGCTATGGCAGCCAGTGAGATGGGACGAGAGAAATGACGTCAGCCAGAAGAGGAGAGTGACAGCAACGAGAGAGAGGGTCAGACACCCGACACACGAGGGTGGGCGGCACACACTGTGAGGTGGCAGCCGACAAGCGAGAGCAAGGGGGCGAGCCCAGCCAGGCATGCGAGGTGTTGTGTGTCCGCCTTGGCTTACCAGGGCAGGATGGGGCGGGAAGGGGAACGGGGGCGGGTAGCCAGCCAGTTCACACAGGCCAGGCATTGCCGATACTCTCATGCCCCACCACCAGCCAGGGGATAAACGGCCACCATGGCCCGGCCAGCCCGTCAGCCGGGGAGCCAAGGAGCTAGGGGCACTGCATCAGGTCCATTCTGTGACAAGCTCTTTGAGCAAGAAAATCAGGGCAGCAAGAAGAGAAGCCTAATCTCATTAGAGCTGCTGAGGCTACAATACGTCCCCTCAGTCAGGGAAGAAGAGTGGTGGGCAGGGGGGAGCAGAAAGGTAGGTAAGGCTGTAGCTCCATGTTAAGGCCTGAGAGACCCACGACAAGGTGCTGTTCTGGGTCTGCTCTGATAGGCCAGGAAGGGCAGCAAGGCCTTCCCACCATTCCTTCCATCAAGGACCTTAAAGTGAATGCCTCAGGCCTGCCACAAGCCCTCTTCCAGGAATGGCCCAGAGGAACTGAAATGAGGTGAGTCAGCAGCCTGATTCTTCCTGAGAAAGGGAGGTGGAAGAGAATTCCACAGCCTGGAGAGGCTTTCAGGAGAATCCAGTGAAGGCTCCCAGCAGGAGAAGGACTTTTGAAAACAAAACTCAGACTGGATTAGTACCTCCAACCTGGCCACTGACTCCACCCACTGGAGACAGATCCCTCTCTTCCTCAAAGGAATAACCAACCTGCTTGGCAAAAGCAGCTGCCTCCAGCAACCAGGCCTGCCGCTAAGGGAAACAGGGAGGCAGGAAGGGCAGCAGTCCTGAAGCCTGTGGGGGCCGCACCATCCCACAAATCTCGCCCAGCAGCCTGCAAGCCAGCTGCCAGGCCACCACCACCAGACCCACCGGGGGCCAGGCTGTACTAGCTGAGCTTCCAGGATGCAGCGAGGGGAGGGCGCACGTCAACTCTCCGGAGGGAAGAGACCTGGTCCTGCACGCTGGGGTGGGGGGGTGGGAGGTACAGCGGGCTCAGCCGGGGGACTCACTCACCCGATGTCATCCCGGTAGACCCGGGAGATGAGCACCTCCCCTTTGTGATTATAGATGAACAGCCCTCCAATCATGGCAGCAGCTCAGTCTCCACAGCCCATTGCTCAGAACAGACCTAAGACAGGTGGAGGTGGGCTAAGGGAAGGCCTCAGAACCCCTGCCCCCCTCCCCTGCGAGGCTGGCAGGCTAAGGGAAGGCCTCAGAACCCCTGCCCACCTCCCCTGTGAGGCTGGGCTTTTTTCCCTGACTCAACCCAGTCAGCGTCAGCAAGTGACCCTGCAACCCTTCCAGGCATGCCCCTCCCCTCAGCCAGGCTCCAGTTCCTGTTTATCCCACACTGGAAGCGAGAAAAAAATAGAGAGGGCCTTGAGCCCAGGATCGAAGGCCACTTTCACCCTCCCTTTTCTGGGGCTGGGCCCAGAGTAGCCCCCTTTTGCTCCTGCCCGCGCTGAGCTAGGCCAGGATCCTTTTGGCCCCCTCCTGTGCAGCCTCACCCCCGGCTCCAGCCTGCATCACCCCAAGGCTGGCCTGCCTGCGGCTGCAGGAATGGCGGTAGGAGTTAGTCCAGGTGGCTCAGGCCTGGGGCCCCAGGCCCAGCCTTAGAGCACCAGCCGCTCAGTCTCCTCTACCCTTCTGAGCAGGGGCAGGGCCTCATTCACGGAAGCTTTAACATCCCAGGAACGGGTGTGCAGGGTGGGGGAGGAGGAGGAGGGAAGGGAGGCCTCCTGCCCTGACACGGCCCAGAGTCTGGCTGCGGCCTCTCCCAGGCAGTCAGATAAGCAGCACAAGAGCAGCCTAGAAAGGCCCCGCCCGGCCTGGCCGACTGGGCTTTAGTGAGCCAGGCTGGCTGTCACCATCCTTCCCACAGGGCCGCTCCCCCTCAGTTCTAGAGTGCAGTGAACACAAGGGTGCGAAATAAGGGTAGGGGGATACGATGAAGAGATCCTTCCAGCTGAAATCCAGTGATTCCAGACCCAACAAACTCAAGTCTGGCCTGAGTGCCTGTGAGCAAGGGGCAGGCCTATCAGAAATGCCTGAAATTATCCAAGTCATTTGGGTCAAATGAATTTGGACTGAGAAGAAAAGGATTATTCTGCCTCTAGATTGCCTGGATTAGCCCTGGTATTGATCTCACAGCAGAGACTTTTGCAGGCTTTTCTAAACCGAAACAGAAAGCCTTTTACTGTGGTGTCGAGGTCTCCTGGACCAGTGAGGGGTTCCTCAGCGTGGCGGACTCACCCCATCCTTCACTCCCAAAGAGGCTGGGAGAGGAAAAGCAAAATGGAAGTAGAGTCCTGGGCAAAGGACCAGGTTCACGGGTATCAAGGGGTAGGCAGCTCCTGGCAGCAGAGAAGCAGAGGAGCAGCCCGGGACAAGAATAGGAGGTTGAGTTAGGGGCAAAAACTGGCGCGACAGCCAGGCAGCGTACCCCAGCAGCCCTCAGCCGCAAACAGGGCTGGTGGGGGCGCAGGAAGGAAAGACTTTCTAGACTGGAAAAGGTCAAGGCTTTGGGGGAGAGGGGACCGGCAGGGAGACCATGACAGTGGTGAATGGAAATGCGGGCAGCTGGAGCCTGCCTTGGGGCTTAGGTGCAGAGGCGTGAAGTGGGGGGTTCGTCCTAGGGAGGGGGCCACCGCGGAAAAGATGGTACCACGGGGTGCGGGGGCTGTCACAGGTCTGAGGACGAGGAGCTGGGGATGTCGCTGAACTGAGATGGAGGGAGCGCGGCGGGGGTGGGAGGCTTGTCATTGTCCTAGGAGACGGGGAAATTGTCTTTGCGCTGAGAGAAGGCACCGAAGGGGAGGAGGGTGGTCACGAACCTAGGGAGGGGCGCGCTGCGCGGTGCCGTGCTCTGCGCGGGTTCCAGTCGGTCTCCCTCTCCCGGGAGGCGCCAGGCGGGTCAGGTGGAGGGCACCACTCCCGCCCGTCCTGCAGCCGCGCCTCGGGCCTGAAGGCTGAGGCCACTCCCGGGTGCGGGTAACTTTCCGCGGAGCGCGGTGCAGGGAAGATCAAAGCCGGGCGACGGTGCAGGCGGCCCGCGACGCGTCCTCCCGCCCGTAGGGCCAGACCCCGAGCTTACCTGGTGTCGGCAGCACCCCCTCGGCGCGGCCACTCTCCGGATCCCAAGATGTCCGCCCGCCCGCCCCCTGCTCGCCTGCCCGCTGCCTGCTGCCTAGGCTTTCACCGCAGTGCCGCGGCCCCGCCCCGGCCTCAGCTGCGCGTGCGCATCCGCCCCCGTCCACCGTGCCGACTACAAATCCCATCAGTCCTCTCGGCCTCCTCGCTTACCATTGTAAGCGTTCCAGGCTTGTCAAAACTACAATTACCGACAGCCTTCGGGAACACCCTCCTCCCCGCCTTCCAGGGGTGGGCGTGGCTTGTCACGCTACCTCTTGAATACACGTCCCAGCATACACCGCTTCCGCCACCCCCATTGATTTTCCCTACTGAGCATTCTGGGAACTGTAGTCTCTGCCGTCCCCCCTCCCCCCGCCCCGTGCCTATTTAGGCGTTTGGGAGAAGCTCAGAAGATTAGTCACGCTTTTGTTGAAGACCATCTGTTAAAGATTGGATTGCTGTAGGCCTTTTCTGTCTCCAGAGTCAGAGGACTGGCTGTCCTTACTTTACACACAAACACACAACTTGGCAAAGTGTGTGTGCTGAATTTGACTGCTTTCTAACATCACCTCTGATTCTCACAAACTTGTTTCATTATATATTCATTCCAGCCATGAGCCTTTTCCCAGGGATCAAGACCCAAGCAGGGGTGTAGGAAGGGAGGCGACAAATACGTGGAAGGAATTAGCTACACTTTTCGCAAACGTGCCTGTGTTCTACCTCAGCTACGTGATTTAGTTCCTCAAGGCCAGGAGCCGTGTGCCTCCAAGTGACGTGCCATATCTTGCTTAGAAAATGTTTGGCGAGTTGAATTTATTTGGATATGGGATTTGGAACCCCTTCTCTGATGAACAGTTAAGCTTCACATCCAAGCTGAGCGGAGGAAACAGAGCTAACCCCCAACATGAAAGGCCTGCTTGGCTCTTGGAGGACCTTGAAAAAAACCTACTGGCTGTTCCCCATCTTAGGCAGAGACACCCTGCTGCCTTCCCTGGGCAGGGCTGCGCCAGTCCTCGGAGGAAGGGCAAGAAAGAGCAAACCTGGTTGCAAATCCTACTGTCCTTAGCTTTCTTCTGCCAGAAGCCAGAATGTGACAGGATGAAGAAACGGCCTCCTCAAACCGTGGTCCCAGCCTGAAGCCATTAAGTGATGAATACAGGTGAACTGGTACTCAAGGCTTCACTCCTACCTCTCCAAAAGCTTTATCTTCCACACATAGCCTACCCATTGCTGTCGATTCCAACTCATAGTGACCCTATGGGACAGAGTGGAACTGCCCCCATAGAGTTTCCAAGGCTGTAAATCTTTATGGAAGCAGACTGCCACATCTTCCTCCCATGGAGCGACTGGCGGGTTCAAACTGCTGACCTTTTGGTTAGCAGCCAAGTGCTTTAACCACTGCACCACCAGTGCTCCTCACACATATCCTAAACTCCTATCAATTTTGACTGAATAATAATAGTAGTAGCAGTAATTATAATAATAGCTACCATTTATTGAGCACCTACTCTACTGTGTGCCAGGCACTGTGCTAGGCACTTTTCGTACAATACCTAATTTCAATCCTCACAACAACCCTGTGAGGTAGGTATTATTATCGTCATTTTACATACAAGGGAACTGAGGCTCAAAGAGGTTAAATAACTCTCCTAAGATCACACAACCAAAAAGTAATAGAGCTGGAATTCAAACCCAGAACAACCGGACTCCAAATCCCGTGCTCCACCGAACTAAATAAGTAAAGGCAGAAGGGAGAGGAAGGGCCAAATTCAAGACTGATTGTTGGAGTGGAATGGATATGATATGCTGACTGATAAGGTATGAGAGGAAGGAACTAAAACCCATAAACGTTTCTAGCTTGTGAGTCTGTGTAGACTGTGATGAAAGTAACCAGGATTGGAATTCAGGAGGAACACACTTGGTGGGAGAGATGATGTGTTGAGTCCACATGGTTATGTCTGTGGAGAGTCCAGTGGGTAATAAAAATACAGACCTAAAGATGAGGGGAGAAGTTGGGGCTGGGGATATATACTTGGGAATTACCAGCATGTCAGTGGCAGTTAAAGACATAATGATGAATGAGACCATTTTGGGAGTTTTATAGAGAGGAAAGAGAAGTAGGCCAAAGATGGAACTCCGGGGGGCACCGACACTGCAGGCATGAGCAATAGCAGAGGAATTCTCAAGAGGTGGACAAGGCAGAGTCAGAGAGGGCAGAGAAGTACAGGAGACAGCCCTGCAGTGGCACCAGCAGGAAGCCATGGACTGAGTTGGGAGTGAACCCCAGGGCTCCCAGAGGGTGAGCAAGACTGAGTCACACTTCCAGCACAGCCCTCTGCCACCAGAGCCCCAGGAAGTATTTGCTGAATGAATGAATGCCAAAATGCCCGGCTCCTGGTTTATGCCAAAGCCTGGACCCAAGGACTTCATCTCACCCTTGATACCTCAGCCCTGAAAATATGGGCGCCTTAGTGAGCGTAGGTGAGCCAGAAGAATTTATAGCAGAGTCATGACTTGGTTAAAGTGAAGAATAACCTAAAAAATAAAACCTAGCAGTCCGTCTGGAAGTCCCAGAACTCCCCCTGCCCAACTTCAACTGGCCTGTGAGCTCCTGTGTCCCCGCTCTGGGGTGTCATGGCGAACGTGAAAACAGGGAAGGCTATGTGCGTGTGAAAATGGCCTACGCCAGTTGCTTGGGGAGTCCTCTGCTGAGCCCAGCCTAAGAACCAGCTTATGGGCTTTATCCAGGTAGGAAGATGATGAGGACAAGTGTGGAAGGCTTGAATACTACAAGGAGGGGGAGCAAGAAGTCAGGGGACCAGCCCCACAACCTGAGGACTAGGAGAGAGGGATCCAGCCCTCTGGGCAGGGACCAGCCCTGAGGCTGAGTGAACTTGCATAGGGGTGTGTGTGTGTGTGTGTATGTGTGTGTGTGTGTGTGAGAGAAAGAGAGAGACAGAAAGAGAGAGACAGAAAGAGAGAGAACACCATCTCTGGAGAAGGGAGCATAGTCTCTCATGAGTAACTATGGGTGAGAGGCTGAGGCCCCCCCCAGGAAGCCTAGTAACTCAATGGTGAAGTGTAGGTGTGGGGGCTAGATATCCTTGGGGAGCCCTGAGGGGATCTTGAAGCAGGGCTCCTGGTCTCCTCGGAGGCTGGGCCTCCCCTTGCAGGGGGCTCACAGAAAGTCAAACAGCCCGAAATTCTTGGCTGCTCCAGGCCCAGGAAAAATAGGGAGAGAAAAAAGAAAGAAAAGAAATGTTTCCGGCCCAGAGGTGAGACGAGTCTGGGGATTAGCAGGGTTAGGGGTCTGAAGGAAGCAGCACACAGGCCAGACATGGGGCGGGGGGGCAGGGGGTAGTGGCTGCTGCTCCAGCAGCTCAGGGGCCCTCTGGGCCTCTGGTCAGGGCTGGGCGCAGGCAGGGATGGCAGGGATGGTTACTGGAAGTGCCTGCGGCTCCAGGGTGTGGGGCTGGGGCACATGCAAGGGGACAGTTAAGAGGGGCAGATGCAGGGAATGTCTGGGGGAGGAGGAAGCAATGTTGCTGGACAAAGTCAAGAGGTCTGCATACGTGCCTGACGGGGTGAGGTTAACAGAGGAATGATATAGCTGAATGAATGGGGAGAGGGAACTGAGGGGGAAGGTAGGGGCCGAGGGGCTGGGAGGCCTCCAAGGACACCACCGGGTTAGCTCCTGTGTGTGTGTGTGTGTGTGTGTGTGTGTGTGGAGGAGGGCGGGGGCAGCTAAGGGCTGCACCAGCAAGTCTGCTGGACTTGGAGACAATAACCCAGGGCACGAAGGCTCCTGGGAACTCCAGCACAGGGGTTAGTGGGCAGAGGGCACAAGCGGGGGCCAGAAGCAGGTTAGGGGATGCAGAGCCGATTGGTGGGTGCACTGCGCCCTCCGTGCGCCCCTTGAGCAGTTAGCGCGCCTGGATTTAGTTCCGTTTATTTCCCTTTCAGGTACCAGAGAAAGTAAAAAAAAAAAAAAAAAAAAGGATGACGAGAAAGGGGTGCAGGCAGCCGGGGTTGGGGGGGAGATGGAAGTGGGAGGGGGGACGCGGAAGTGGGGAGGGGCCCTGCTCACATCACATCCACAAAGAACTCACTGGGGTTTCCCATGGCCATGCGGAAGGACTGTCTGCTGGCGGTCAGTTCCGGGGGCACAGAGGCCAGGTCGCGGCCCGGGGGGGCCCCCGGGGGCCCCATGGCTGCAGGCGGCGGGGGCATCATCAACATCGGGGGCCCGTAGAGCGGGGGCACACCGGGGGGCCCGTAGCTCGGGTGTGTGTGGTGGCTGCGCAGGCTGCTGGCCAGCGAGTGGTGGCTGCGGTGGCTGTGCTCGCTGGCCGCTGGGCCTGAGCGCTCGCTGGGTGCCCGCTCCCGTGGCCCCCGCAGGCTGCTGCGCGTCGTGTGGTCCGACTCGCTGCCGCTGCCGCCCGACTTGGAGTCCCCGGCCTTCGGGTCCTTCTCCTTCCGCCGGTCGCTACCGCTGCGGTTGGAGCCGCTGCTCCGGCTGCCTGTGGGGGACGGGCACGGACGGGTGACGGGCACTCAAGGCGTGCTGCAAGCCCGGGGCCCCCCTCCACGGCCCCCTCCGACTTACCTTCACTGTGCTGACTGCTGGCGCTGCCCCCACCGTAGCTGTACCCCAGCTCTGGGAAGCCGGGGTGTGGGTTGTAGGGGTGCGGGGGTGGCGGGTACTGGTACGGGAAAGCCATGGGCCAGGGAGCAGCCCCAGGGTGCGGCAAAGGGGCCAGCGTGTCCTGGTCTGAGGCGCCACTGGACCCGTCGTGGTCATGGAGGGACAGGTTGGCCATGTCTGGGGGTGGGAGGGAGGACTGGGTGAGCTGGGTCCATCCCATCCACCACACCCCTTAATTAGGAGACTGGGGGGCTTTGGGTGACAACAACAGCAGTGACAGCTTCTGGTCGGATGGGGAGGCACAGGGCAGAGATGTCTTCCCTCCCTCAGACTCCTCCACTACCCACCAGAAGGTGGGAGGGAGACCCTCCTCAGGAAGGTCCCGAGTCACCGCTTCAGATCCTCAGTGCCAAATCCTGACACCAAACTCCCAATACCTTGGAGGTCCCCTACTAAGCTTCTGGCAGGTTCTCCTTCCTGCTCAGAGAGCAGGGAGAAGGGGTAAAATTCTGGCTATTTTCTGTCTCTTCACTCAGAGGGTCTGAGGTCGGGAGACTGGAAGGCTGAAAAACCACACCAAACTTGTTGCCTTCGAGTCAATTCGGACTCACAGCAACCCTGTAGGGCAGAGTGGAACTGCCCCATAGGGTTTCCAAGGAGCAGCTGGTGGATTCGAACTGCCGACCTTTTGGTTAGCAGCTGAGCTCTTAACCACTGCGCCACCAGGGCTCCAAAACACCAGATAGCCACCTACAATTCATTAGGCACGATAACCAAAACCACCTGTTGCCATCAAGTCAGTTCCGACTCACAGCGACCCTACAGGACAGAGCAGAACTGCCCTATAAGGTTTCCAGGGCTGTAATCTTTATGGAAGCAGACTGCCGCAACTAGCTCCCCGTGTAGCACAGCTGGTAGGTTTGAGCCATCGACCTTTCGGTTAGCAGCCAAGTGCTTAACCACTGCGCCACCAGGGCTCCTGTTGAGCACATACAAGGCACTACATCTCATGCAAACGGTTTACGCAGCCTCGTGAGAAAGGCGTTGGGCACACGTTTTCCAGATCAGGAAAGTGGAGTCCAGAGAGGTTAAATGACCAGCCTGAGGTCAACTCCAGATGTAGCCAGAACAGAAGCTAAGAGCTGCTGAGCTTCTCCTTACCTTTCTGGACAAGGTGATTAGTTAGGAACACAGAGCAGTATGAGGAAAATTTTGGTAGAATTTTGCCCTCCCCACTCATCTAGGACTACACTATCTATTAAAAGCCTAGAATCAATATAGGGCCTTCTGGAACATCCCCATACAGTGATCCCTTGGCAGGCCTTTGGCCCTGACCAGTTTCCTGGTGCTGCTGGGCAGGGTGGCAGTGGGGCAGGAAGGGGCCAGGGAGGACAACTACGGCTCCTCCTCTGGGTTCTCCAGTCCATTCTCCGCCAGGCCTGGCTCTGCACAGCACTTGTCTCACTATATTTACATCACGCATTTCATGACTCAGGCTCCCCTAAAAAACTGTAGAGTCGTCAAGGGCAAGTGGGTCCTTCCAATGCCACAACTACCTTGAAGGGGGCACAAGGGGCCACAGGACCTGCCTGGGACACCCCTTGCTCACACCCCATCCATACCAGGTCCCAAAGCCCTGAGAGAGCTGTAATTGACCTGCTGGATACTGACAAGCCCTTTCCTCCAAGCCCTGAGGTGAGCCAGCCCAGCTGTCCAGAGGAGAAGAGATCAGAAGGTCCTGAGGGGGCTGAGGTAACCTGTGACGTCTGCCAGCCATCAACGTATCAAGATGCCAGCAGCTAGCTGTGCAGGGGAGGGACAGAAGTATGGCCTGCCTTGGCTTACGTCCGAAGAGCTGGTGACCACTTCAGCCTTCAGGCTGTTGTCCTGAGGAGAGTGACAGCCATACTCTCAGCTGAAGAGAACTTGGCCAGTGAGAAGGGAAAGGCCTGTTCTGTCAGCACCCCCTTGATCTGGGCCTCTGGTGTCCTTGGTCCATGGGTGAGAGACTCAGGAGGCCCCAGGGAAGGAGCAACGTCTCTTGAGCGAAAACCACAGATGCCCTGAGAAGCTGCATGTGTCCCCGAAGGTTTAGGGCCAAGGTTGACTTCTTCTAATAATGATAATATCAATGATAATAATAACCATATATCATGGAATCTAAGAAGCCATCAATTGTAAGATACACCCCAATTTCAGAGATACTAAAATGAGGAAACAATGTATATCTTACAATCAGTTAAACACAAAAACAATGGCTTGCTTGTGCAGACCACTAATTGTGGGCCAAACATTGTGCTAAGTGCCTCAAAAGAGCCCTGTGAGATGAGTCCTATTACTACCTCCATCTTACAGATCAAGAAAGGAAGGCACCGAGAGGCTGTCACTTGCCCATGGTCACACAGTAAGGGTGGAGTTAGAACTGTCTAACTCTAAAATCCTATATAGCCATATCTGTCACTACCTCTGGAGCCCTGGTGGCACAGTGGTTAAGAGCTCGGCTGCTAACCGAAAGGTCGGCAGTTCGAATCCACCAGCTGCTCCTTGGAAACCCTATGGGGCAGTTCTACTCTGTCCTATAGGGTCGCTCTGAGTCGGAATCGACTTGATGGCAACAGGTTAGTTTTTTGATTTGGATCACTACCTCCACGTGGCACACTGGAACTGTTGAGGGCCAGGGAGCCTACCCTCCACCCAGGGAATTGTGATCGGCTGGAATAGCCATTCTAGTCCCTAGAACCTGACTGAAGCATTTCAAGAGTGGAGAACATCAAGGCTGAGAGAAGACTCCCTCAGAGCAGAGGTGGCTGCTGGGGGTGGGCCTCAGTTCCCAGCCCTGAGCAATGGTGTCCTGTCTTTGAGGACTCCCCACCCCGAGGGTTGTCCACAGGCTCAGAAGAAGGGAGGTTCCCTGTAGACCTCTCCTGCTTAATCAACCCTCACTGCCTTCGCATTCGCTAAGACTCAAGTCCAAACACCTTGGTTTGGCTTGCAGAGTCCTCTGCAACCTGGCCCTGACAGCTTCTCCACCTTTGTCCTGTGGCACTACCCACCCTCAGGTCTGAGAAGGCTGTGGACTTGGGGTCTCGGCCAGCCCTAGGTCCTGCCCTGATGGAACCGGCTGGGTGCTGGGAGGCTGAGTAGGGGCCAAAGGTAGGAACTCTGGCCTTGCTGAGACAATGCTGCATTAGCACCACGCACAGCGGGGTTGGGGGCAGCAGCCTGGGGTGGTGGGAAGAACAAAGGCTCTGGAGCCAGAAAGACCTGGATCCACGGCCTAGCTCCTCTTCTTCTGTCTGTGAGACCTGGGGCAACTTTTTAACATCTACAAGTCTCAGTTTCCTCATCTAAACACAGGAGTATTAACCCTCCTTTGGTGGGAAGAAGGCTGTGAGTACTGGGTAAGATGGTGCTGTAGGAACAACTGGCATGGTATCAGGCACAGAGCAGGTGCTAAGAAAATGCCAGCCCCAAGAGGGGGCCACAGCACGGGTGAGGAGGCTGCAGTGGACTCTGCTTCCGCTGCAGAGCTCTCAGACCTTCAGCTGGGCCTCCCGCCCTGCTGCCTCTGCATGCAGGCTTCCTGGGCACTCCCCACCCCCAGAGAGCAGACGGGGCAAGGAGGTAGGGGAGGCACGTACTGCCACAGAGGTCACCGAAGATGTAGTAGCATTGCTCGGAGAAGGTGATCTTGTTGACGGTGTGGCGGATGAAGCCGGCTTTCAGCAGGTTGCTGGCATACTTGCGGGCCTCCCGCCGGTCCGTGAAGCCTTCCACGTTGTGGTATAGCCAGTCCACCACATCTGAGCCTGGGGGCAAGGCTGCCACTTGAGAGGCCCACCTGACGTGGGCTCGTTGGGCCTCACAGAAGCCATGAGTCTGGGGCTGGTTCCAGCTCAAAGGACGGGTCCAAGGGAGTTCTGGGGCCACCGGCCTGCCCCACCCCATCTCCCCACTTCTGTCCTTCATCCCTCCAAGGGGCCACCCTCACTGCCTCTCCCCATCACCCCTCACCTCTGTCCGTCATCCCTCCAAGGGGCCACTCTCACTGCCCCACCCTAACACCCCTCACCTCTGTCCTTCATCCCTCCAAGGGGCCACTCTCACTGCCCCTCCCCATCACCCCTCACCTCTGTCCTTCATCCCTCCAAGGGGCC